AAAGGACTCCTACCCGTATTTCTACCCTTGGTGTCACTGTTAGTAATCTGCTAACTCTTGTATTTAATGGAAGTGCTGCAATATATGTCATTTGAGGTGTTTATTGTCTTAATTTTGTAAAAATGTTTCATGCACGGTTGACATAGGGTATTTTTTCATTTTTCTTTCTTTTCTTTTTTTTTTTTTGTTTTCCTCCTTTGGTAAATTAATCAAGCCCTGGGGTCTTTGTAATTAGTTTTTTTGAATATTTTTTTTTTTAAAAGGAAAATCTACTGAAAGAACGAGTACTACCTAAAAGGATGCAAAAGCAACAGCGACAACAAGAAAAAGTTATATATTTTATTAATTTTTTTTGTACGTGTTGTGTTTGGAGTTTGTCTTAGGTATGAACATGGAATTCTCTAATAAAAACAAAGTCTTCGATCTCACACACACTCCCCTGTCATTATTATTGTTGTTCTCTTTGCCTTTTCCAGGGGAACTTGCCATTCTTAGGGAGCAGAGGGTTGTACAGAAAGCTTTGCTTCTCTCTGTCTGACACTGGCTTCTAATCTGCCAGGACAAGCAACTCCGAGCACACGGAAGTTACAGTGGAAAGATAAATCTGGTTTTCCCTCTTTTTGTCTAATCTGAAATGGAAGACCTTTCACCAATAGTATTTCCTCGCTGACATTCTGCTTTAGTATCGCTCTTTTTTTTTATTGTTACAGTACAAAGAGTTATGACGAAACGCTCTCCATATACATAATAAATCAAGGAAACAGGCAAAAATATGCTCTCATTTATCTACCAAAGATACCTAACATTTGCCTAGCATCTTTCAAACATCTGGTCCCTTACTTCATACCCCAAATCAAAGTGAAGTGTATTGCAAAAAAAAAAAAAGTCCAGATTTCAAGGGAATTTGCCCTGTGAAACGAGCAGCTTCTCAGCTCCAGGAATACAGCCTCCATTTAAGGAGGGGGAAAAAAAGGTGGGAAAAAGCTAAGCTAAGTCTGATGAGTTCTTTTAAAAGAGTAGGGTTTTATTTTCATTTGAAAACATTTTCGATGGCTCCTTCTGAGAGGCTGACTTTGCTCGGGACGGGATGAGGAACGTTTCTGCTCCTTTCCAAAGAGGAATCTCCATGCAAACAGCCAACTTTTCTTGGGTTTGGGAATTAAACGAAAGGAAATGCTTTTTCTGCTGGGGATTTAAGACTGGAAGCAAGCGACCAGCCCAGCCGATTTCGGATCCCGTTTTCTGCAGCTTCACAGGGGGAAAACGCGGTGTAACAGTATCTCCCGCCTCCCATCCCCTTTCCCCACCAGAAATACCTATGTATGAATGCATTCCCCCATGCCACAAGCTGGTTTAATGTCAGTCACTTTTAAAATCAATTCATGCAGAAGCTTCACAGCTGTAGGACATTTACTATTATTGCCACGCTTTTCATTGCCCGTAATTATTATAATTATATGTCACTTTCAATATGGCGCATAATTTCCAATGAGTTGCAGACAGGCATATGAAATTCCTAAACTGTCTCGGAAAAAAAAAAAAAAAAAAAAAAAGACAGAGAGAGAGAAAATAGCGAAGAAGAAGAAGGGGAAAAAAAGCAAGTATTGCTTAACAAAGCGCAGCTCTTGCACAACGTTTTTACCAATTTCAGAGTGCTTTTGCTCCCCAGTATTCCTTGCAGGTTAGCAAATGGAAAGGAAAAACCACGTAGCACAATGGTGTGTTCAAAGAGGACGTGGAACGCTCAGGAACAAGAATATCCTAAACGCAACGTTGGCGACCAGTTCCACCGGCTGGACTTTCCCTCCTTTTCCTTTCTTCCCACCCCTCCATTTTTCCGCCCCCC